TGGGCTCAGGCTGTATTTGACCGAATTAGAATTCGCTGCGGTTGGGCGGAGAGATGCCGATAGGAACAGCTCTCAGTCTCCAATCGGCGCCGCCGAGCCACACAGAAGACCCGGTGATTTCTGGCATTTTCAACTGGGTACTGGGTTGCATAGGTCACTAGGAGTGGCCGGACAATCGGTGCTGGTTAGAATGGCAATAATTAAAAAATCAGGAAACAACAGGTGCTGGAGAGGATGTGGAGAAATAGGAACACTTTTACACTGTTGGTGGAACTGTACACTAGTTCAACCATTGTGGAAAACAGTGTGGTGATTCCTCAAAGATCTAGAACTAGAAATACCATGAGACCCAGCCATCCTATTACTGGGTATATACCTAAAGGATTATAAATCATGCTGCTCTAAAGACACATGCACACCTTGTTTATTGCAGCACTATTCAGAATAGCAAAGACTTGGAATCAGCCGAAATGTCCATCAGTGACAGACTGGATAAAGAAAATGTGGCACATATATACCATGGAATACTATGCAGCCATAAAAAAGGATGAATTTGTGTCCTTTGTAGGGACATGGATGCAGCTGGAAAGCATAATTCTCAGCAAACTATCACAAGAACAGAAAACCAAACACCGCATGTTCTCACTCATAGGTGAGAATTGAACAATGAGATCACCTGGACACAGGAAGGGGAACATCACACACCGGGGCCTATTGTGGGAAGGGGGCAGGGGAGAGGGATAGCATTAGGAGATATACCTAATGTAAATGACGAGTTAATGGGTGCAGCACACCAACATGGCACATGTATACATATGTAACAAACCTTCACGTCATGCACATGTACCCTAGAACGTAAAGTATAAAAAAAAAACAAAAACAAAAACAAACAAACAAAATACAGCCTAAAAGGTGGAAGCTATTGTTCTCTATTTGAGGAAGCATTTTATTCATATGTAAATATTGATGTAGGCAGAGAAGGTTGGACTTGAGCTTGGTAAAAAAAAAAAAAAAAGAAAAGTTTTATCTGTTTAACTGGTGCCTAGAAAAACATAAAAAAATCATAAAATTGCCTAATATAAGTGTTTCTGTAAAGGGCCAAATAGTAAATATTTTAGGCTCTTCAGGCTGGGTGGTCTCTTTTCCAAATACTCAACTCTGTTATTGGAGTATGACAACAGTTTTTGAAAATCTGTAAATGAATGGGCATAGCATTATTCCAAGAAAATCTTATTTACAAAGACAGCTGGCAGGCAGGATTGGCCATGATTTGCCTTGGGCTGTAGTTTGCCAGTGCTTGGACTAGCACACGTTCGTGTTTTAGTCTATGTTCTTTAAATAAATATCCATTTTACTCCACATTCTATGGCTAAATAGAAGATCACAAACCCTTGGCAGGGAGATAAAATTAACTTAATCATAGCATACACATAGGTGAAAGAACATGAAACTTGTTTTAGAACAAGGACAAACGTAATTTAAAATAAAATCTATTAATTCAGATATTCAACAAGCATTAATTTATAGGAATAGCCAGTTGAAGACATAGAAAACTGCAAATTTGGGAAAACTAGCAATAGTAAACTGAAAACTGATAATTTCTTTTGTTTTCTCATCCTCATACATCAGTTGAAGCTCTCTGTTACCTTGCTTCAGCCTCAGGGAGTATGTCAGGTACTTATCTCCTGTGATGGGTTGTCCTTCTGCTAATAAGTCCAGGGAGAAATCTCTCAGTGTCCACACGAAGTCTGGGAAGAAGCTCACAAAGTCAGCTGAATCCTTATTCTCATTCTCATTAGGTGAGGATTTTGATCGGATTCGATGTGTCAGCTCTGTCACATAGCTGAGTAGCTAACTAAGGAAATGTGACAAAATGAACAGGGACCTCATCCCATATTCAACACATTCCCAAACTTTCCATTTTCCTTTGCTCCTAACCTAAGTGTCATTTCTAAAGTGGTTACATGGGATCTCTCCTCTGTACTTGCATTATTTTTTGTTTTCTCCTCTTGAGCTTGATTCATCAGGATTCACAGTCAGGCAGCTAGTTTATGAATACAGGTGTCGCCTCTGACTTCGGTGCTGTTCTGGGTCACAAAGGATACTGCAGTTGGTCCATGGCCTGCTGGTTGATGATTCCCATGCTGTTGTACACGAAGGTGCTGCTCAGGAGGACGTCCAGGGCGAAGATCCAGGAGTCATTCTGGTTGTTACCCTGGAAGTCAAGATATACTGGAGTCAGGAGCAAGTTTCATCATCACAGCACTTTCTAGAGTAACAGTAGTAAAACTATGTTCATATGTTAGAGGGTTTTTGTTCTTTTTTGTTTGTTTGTTCTTTAGCACTAATGACATATCAAAGGAAGCCAAATACAAAAAGTATTCTCAGTAGGATGTTGCTTTTGGGTAGTTTTTCGACGAGTGTTTTTGGGTTACAATGATCCTTATTAAGTTTTCTAATGACCGTCAACAAATAATTGTAAAATTAAAATTCAAGGTAGGTGGGCATTTTAAGGCATGAGTACAATGTAAATTTAAAATTTTCTCATCTTTTTTCAATAACAAAATTCACATATAAGATTGATACTATTAGTTGCTATTTTATCAAATAATTAATCTACACCTGAAATGTACTGTTTATCTCATTAAATATTCAAAATAATTCTATGTGGCCAACATAGGTCTTTTCCATACATTTTAAAGATTAGAATGCTGAGTATAAAATAAGTCAATTTTCTCAGGGTACTGAATTGGTGACAGAATTTAAATTTAAACAGAAAGTCATGGGGCTTTAGCACCCAAATTCTTAACTAAAGTTCTCTGCAGGATAAGACTCATGACACTGGGATTATTTGTGCTCCCTTTATGCATCTGTGTTAAACCCCACATATTATGGCCTGTAGTTAATAGTTAATAAACAATTAAATGGTGCATAAAATATTCAGAGAAGAGGGACTCACTCCACAATTGGATCCTTGAGTCTCACCTTCTCTACATCTCCCAGACCCTCAGTGTCCAGCAGAACTAGGATGTGGCCTGGCTTCTTGGGATGGGGCACACACCACATCCAGATTCCTTTAGTGTGAAACTGCACTGTGGAGCCCAGAGAGAAGCCTGCAAGGGAGAGAGGAGACCAGAGATGGAGATCTAGTAACAGGCAATTCGAGTAGTTAAAGGAAAAGGTAGCATATTTAAGGTTAGGAGAGAACCGAAACAACAATCACTATTCATTTTACTTAGTTACAATCAAAGAAATAGGAAATTTGAATATCCAATGCATGGAAAAATTCAGGAGGCTTTCATGATAAAAACAATCAACAAAGTAGAAATAGAAAAACAGTACCTCAACATAATAAAGGCCATATATTAAAAACCCACAGCTCACTTCACATTTAATGATGAAGTTTCATAGCTTTTCCTATAACATCAGGAACAAGAGAAGGATGCCTACTTTTGCCAATTGTGTTCCATAGAACACTGCAAGTTCTGTCCAGAGTAATTAGACAAGAAAAGCATAAAGGAGGCATCCTAATTGGTAATGAAAAAGTAAAATTATCTGTCTACTGAGAGTAGTATCTAATTTGTAGAAAACATTAAATATTCCACAAAAACCTATTAGAACTTTTAAAAGAATTCATCAAATTTGCAGCATGCAAAGTCAATATGGAGAAATCAGTTGCAAGTGTATAAAAATAGAATTAGAACAGGAATTCTAATTTCCTTCCTAAACAAAAAGAAAAGGAAATTTTGAAAACAATCCCACTTAACAGCATCAAAAGAATAAACTACCTAGGAATAAGCTTAACCAAGCAGGCGAAAGAGTTGTAGAGTGAAAACTTCAAACACCCTTTAAAAGGGCTAATACCCAGAACCTACAAAGAACTCAAACAAATTTACAAGAAAAAAACAAACAACCCCATCAAAAAGTGGGCAAAGGATATGAACAGACATTTCTCAAAAGAAGACATTCATACAGCCAACAGACACATGAAAAAATGCTCATCATCACTGGCCATCAGAGAAATGCAAATCAAAACCACAATGAGATACCGTCTCACACCAGTTAGAATGGCAATCATTAAAAAGTCAGGAAACAACAGGTACTGGAGAGGATGTGGAGAAATAGGAACACTTTTACACTGTTGGTGGGATTGTAAACTAGTTCAACCATTATGGAAAACAGTATGGCGATTCCTCAAGGATCTAGAACTAGATGTACCATATGACCCAGCCATCCCATTTCTGGGTATATACCCAAAGGATTATAAATCATGCTGCTATAAAGACACATGCACACGTATGTTTATTGCGGCACTATTCACAATAGCAAAGACTTGGAATCAACCCAAATGTCCATCAGTGACAGACTGGATTAAGAAAATGTGGCACATATACACCATGGAATACTATGCAGCCATAAAAAAGGATGAGTTTGTGTCCTTTGTAGGGACATGGATGCAGCTGGAAACCATCATTCTTAGCAAACTATCACAAGAACAGAAAACCAAACACTGCATGTTCTCACTCATAGGTGGGAACTGAACAATGAGATCACTTGGACTCGGGAAGGGGAACATCACACACCGGGACCTATCATGGGGAGGGGGGAGGGGGGAGGGATTGCATTGGGAGTTATACCTGATGTAAATGACGAGTTGACGGGTGCTGACGAGTTGATGGGTGCAGCACACCAACATGGCACAAGTATACATACGTAACAAACCTGCACATTATGCACATGTACCCTAGAACTTAAAGTATAATAATAAAAAAAAACCCTTTAAAGAAATTATAGATGACATAAATTATTAGAAAGGCATCCTGCGTTTATGGATTGGAAGACTTAATATTCTTAAGATGTCACTACTACCCAAAATGATGTACAGGTTTGATGTAATACCTACCAACATGCCAATTACTTTGTATAAATAGAAAAATCCACCATAACTTTCATATGAAATTTCTGGAAATCCCCTAATTATGAAAATAATCTTAAAAAGGAAGAGCAAAGTTGGAATCTCACAGTTTCTGAGTTCTGAGACGTATTACAAAACCATGTATGGTACTGGTAGAAAGACTGACATATAAACCAATGGAATAGAAAAACAGCCCATGAATAAACTCTGACATATATGGTCAAATGATTTCCAGTACGGATGTCAAGATCATTTAACGAAGAAAGGAGAGTCTCTTTAACAAATGATGTTGAGGCAATGAGATATCTCCTTAAAAAAGTTGGGCTGTTACCTTATAACTTATAAATATGATCTCAAAATGAATCAAAGAGCTGAACATTAGAGTTAAAACTATAAAAGTTATAGAAGAAAACAAAGGGCAAAAGTTTTATAATATTGGATTTGGCAATGATTTTTTTGAATAAGAGACCAAAAGTATAGTCAATAAAAGAAAAAATAGATTAGTTGGATTTCATCAAAATTTGAAACTTTTGTGTGTTAACAGACTCTATCAACAGAGTTAAAAAAGGCAACACATAGAATGTAAGAAAAGATTTGCTAAACATGTATATAAGGGATTGATATCTAGAAAATATAAAAAAATTTACAAAGCAACACAAATAAACAACCAGATTAATAAATGAACAAAGGACTTGAATAGACATTTTCCCAAAGAAGATATACAAGTGGCCAATAAGCACATGAAAAGATGCTCAATATCACTAGTCATTACGGAAATCAAAATCAAAACCACAACGAGATACTACTTAACATCCATTCCTATGGACACTATCAAAAACAAAACAAAACAAAACAAAACAAACCCTGAAAATAAAAAATGTTGGTGAGGAAGTAGAGAAATTAGAGCCCTTGTGCATTTCTGTTGGGAATGTAAAATGGTACAGTCACTGTGGAAAATGGTACAGTGATTTCTTTAAAAAAAACAGTTAACATGGAATGACTCCATAAGCCAACAATTCCCCTTCTGGATATATTCCCAAAAGAAGTGAAAGTAGGGACTTGAACAGATATTCAGACACTCATGTTCCTATTAGCATTATTTATAATAGACAAAAGGTGGAAGCAATCCAAGTGGCCATTGACAGATGAAGAGATAAACAAATTATCATACAATTACTAAGCCTTAAAAAGGAAGAGTTTTGACACGTGCTAACACACTGATGAACTTTGAAGACATATGAATTGAAATAAGACAGTCATAAAAGGACAAATATTGAATGATTCCACTTACGAGTTTTCTGTAGTAGTCAAATTCATAGAGATAGAATGTAGAATGATGGCAGGCAATGGGTTAATGTGGAGCTTTTGTTTATTTAGTACAGAGTTTCTGTTAGGCAAGATGAAAGAGTTCTGGATATGGATGGAGGTAACAGTTGTATAACAGTGTGAATTTAATTAATGTCACAGAGCTGTACACTTAAAAATGGTTACGAGGTTAAATTTTATGTTTTTTTTTACAACAATAAAAAAGAATATCCAATACAGACTGAAACATTTTTTCAATCTTAAAGATCACTGTAAACTCGCTGTTATGGCATAAAAATTGTAATAAACATTGTATAGTTTATTGTAGTTATTATTATGTGCATTAATTATTTTTATTACAGTCTTACTCCTTTTAGGAAAGGCATAATTTGTGCTTTTGAAAGGGAAACTAACATATCGTGGGAATAATTAATGAATTTAATCTTATCCCCTGGAACAGCGTGAAGATAAGGAGACCAACTGTGAATGGAAAGTTAGCTTTCAGTATTCATCCTCATCTCTAACTTTCTCTCCTCACGTCCTCGTAATGGATGCTGACTGTGTAGATGGACAGAAGGGACTTGGCAGAGCTTTGCTCATGCCACTCACCCTTTTTCTTCCCAGCCAGCTTGTTCATCAATTTGCCTGTGCGGTAGAGGCCCACAATCGCCACCACCACCACAGGCACCACAGGCTGTGTAATGGCAGACAGGATCTTCAGAGCTTCTGGATTCGCCATCAGTCGCCCATTAGTGTTCTCAATGAGGCACATTGGGCCTGTCATGTGGACCTCTGATGCCATGTCTGCGGTGTTCCCTTGTCTGCAAGAGAAGAGGCAAAATAAACGAAAATTTCTAGTGTTTTGTAATTATAAGGGAGAATCATAAGATTCCCCAGTATGGCCAAAAGTTTTGTGTGTGACAGCGAGAGAGGAGGCAAAATCTGTATCATTTGAGAAAGTTATGGAAGTATTGTCAAAGTAGCTCATTATGAAAAATGTTAGCCTGACAGTGACTTATCAATATTGCAGGATCCAGGAGGATGAGAGAGAGACCTCGGGTTAAAACGAGAATTTTTATTGAGTGCACTCAGGCCCCAGCAGACTCACATGCAAAGACAGCACTTGACTTTCATAGACACTTCACAAAGGTGGGTGGGCTAGCTTGAAGCAAGCTTACAGTGGTGTGAAAGCAGGGATATAGAGGCAGGACAAACTCAGGATTGCACATGACCCTTGCCAAGCAACCCAGATGTCTGTTATCTAGGTTTTGCTCTAAAGAGCCTTATACTGGTTTATCTTATAACCTTCACTATGGTGCCCAGGCAGCTGTAGTTCAGGCCTACTCAGGCTTCTCATGACCTTCACTCTACTTCTTAGATAAAACAGAATACTTGAAGTCACTAGTTACAGAGAACAGGAATCTAAAAACTTATTCCATTAAACAAAGGAAAATCAGTTTTTCTTCTCCCTATGTTGAGGGAGTGCTGGGAGAGTCTCCAGAGCACATTAGATAACATTATGAAGACTTTTCCTGGGTCTGGTCTGTGCCTGTTGCTGCCTCTGGGACAAGTCAACCTAATACAGGAAAACTTATTTCTTTTTCTTTTTAATTGTATTTTTCTTTAATTTCCTGCCTCATCAACACTCAACTATACTCACAACCCAAATATTTCATTTAATTTATTGTGGAAAACTTTCTTTTTGGATTCTTATTAAATATTTTCACTAGACAATTAATGGAAGATGGAATAGGATTTAGAGGATGTATTTTGCATCCTGGCTGCATGTAAGGAATTCAATATTGATTTACTTATTAATTCTAACAGTGAATAAATATCCAACACAGTGAATCAGTATTCATAGTTTGATGTTTACCCTTAGAATAATTTCCAGAGATTTTTAAATGTGTTCCTTCCTCCGTCTTCAACTAGTTATGCTCTACAATGAAAGCTATAAAACACTGAGGAAAGAAATTGAAGAGTATACAAAAATGGAAAGGTTATTCCATGTGCATGAATTTGAAGAATGAACATTTAAAAAATGTCCATACTACCAAAAGAAATCTACAGATTCAGTGAATTCCCTATCAAAATATCAATGACATTCTTCACAGAAATAGAGAAAATTATTTAGGTTCCATATAAATCCTACAGTTTATATGGAACCACTGAAGACCCAGAATAGCCTAAGGTGTCCTGAGCAAAAAGAACAAAACTGGAGGAATCATTACCTGACTTCAAATTATACTACAGAGCTACATAACCCAAACAGCATGTTACTGGCATAAAAACGTATGTGTAGTTAATGGAACAGATTAGGGAACCCAGAAACAAATCCATACACCTACAGAGCACTCATTTCTGACAAAGGTGCGGAGAACATACATGAGGGAAAGAAAAATCTCTTCAATAAGTGGTGCTGGGAAAACTGCATATTCATATGCAGAAGAATGAAAATAGACCCCTATCTATCACCATATACAAAAATCACATCAAAATGGATTAAAGTTTTAAATCTAAGACCTCAAACTATGAAACTACTACAAGAAAACATTAGGAAAACTCTTGACATTGGTATGGAAAAAGATTTCCTGAGTGACCAAAGCAAAAATGGACAAGTCAAATCATATTAAGTTAAAAAAGGAAAAAAATTAACAAAGTGAAGAGACAACCCACAGAATAAGACAAAATATTTGCAAACTATCCATCTGACAAGGGATTAATAACCAGAATATATAAGGAGCTCAAATCACAAGGTTCCTTAAAAAACTAAAAACAGAGCTACCATATGATCCAGCAGTTCTACTGCTGAGCATATACCACCCCAAAAGGAAATATGCATATCAAAGGGATATCTGCACTTCCACATTTGTTGCAGCACTCTTCACAATAGCCAAGATTTGGAAACAACCTAAGTGTTAATCAACAGATGAATGGATAAGGAAAATGCTTACATATACACAATGGAGTACTATTCAGCCATCAAAAAGAATGAGATTCTGTCATTTGCAACAACTTGGGTTGAATTCATGGTCATTATGTTAAGTGAAATAAGCCTGCTTGCCTGCCTGTCTGCCTGCCTGCCTTCCTTCCTTCCTTCCTTCCTTCCTCCCTCCCTCCCTCCCTCCCTCCCT